TGTGTTTCGTTCAGAGGTACAACCTTCGATGGAACATGCTACATCACCAAGTCTCCTCTAAACCTTCTGGGGTTAGATTGGTTCGAAGAACTTGGTCTTGCCGATCTTCCCATCAGTACTATTTGCAATCAAGTGAAAACTCCTGTGACTACACAACAACATGCTGCAGATCTTCAAAAACAATTCACAAAACTCTTTCAGCCTGGTCTCGGATTTTGTTCCACAGCGGAAGCTATTTTGAGACTGCAACCAGAAGCTACGCCAGTTTTTCGTCCAAAACGCCCAGTCCCATACGCATCTCTTCCTCTGGTTGACGCTGAACTGCAACGGCTGGAAACGGAAGGTGTTCTTGTGCCTGTCTCTTACTCATCATGGGCGGCACCGATTGTGGTTGTAAAGAAAGCCAATGGTTCCATACGCATCTGTGCAGACTTCTCCACAGGACTAAACGCGGTACTACAACAGCATCACTATCCGCTGCCGATTCCAGATGACTTATTTACTATTTTAAATGGTGGGACATACTTCGCTAAGCTAGACCTAGCAGATGCTTACCTTCAAATTCCTGTCGCTCCTGAATCGAGAGAGTTGTTGACAATTAACACTCACCGAGGACTTTTTCAGTATACCCGGTTACCCTTTGGTATCAAAACTGCTCCAGCGATCTTCCAGCAGATTATGGATACTATTCTGGCAGATGTTCCTGGTGTTGCTACCTACCTTGACGATGTCCTCATTGTCGGCTCAACTGCTGATGAATTGTATACCAGAACACACTCAGTTCTTCAACGCCTTCAGGATAATGGTTTTCGCCTTCGTCCAGAGAAATGCAAATTTTTCTTACGTTCCGTTAAATACCTAGGGTTTATTTTCGATGCTTCCGGACGTCATCCTGATCCTCAAAATACTCATGCAATTCAACAAATGCCGGCTCCCACTGATGTCTCCTCACTGCGATCATTTTTGGGGATGGTTAGCTACTATTCAGCTTTTCTCCCAGCATTGCATGACGTACGTTATCCTTTAAATCATCTGCTAGAAAAGAATGCCACTTGGAATTGGTCTTCTCAATGTGAGTCAGCTTTTTCGAAACTTAAAGCCATGCTAAGCTCCAAACTACTCCTAACCCACTACAATCCGAAACTACCCATTGTGGTTGCCGCTGACGCTTCAACACATGGACTGGGTGCTGTACTCTTACATGTTTTTCCCGACGGCTCAGAGAAAGCGGTGGTACATGCTTCCAGAACACTGACACCCGCTGAAAAACGTTACGGCCAAATCGAGAAGGAAGCGTTAGCCATAATTTTTGCTGTCCGGCGATTCCACAAACTAATTTATGGGCGCCGTTTCACATTGCTCACAGACCATAAGCCATTGTTATCAATATTTGGATCAAAGAAGGGCATCCCCGCCCATTCTGCTAATCGTCTTCAACGTTGGGCGTTGGCATTACTGGGGTACGACTTCGACATCCAGTATCGACGTTCCGAAGATTTCGGCCAAGCTGATGCGCTGTCCAGACTTATCAGTAGCCACTCCACCACTGATGATGACACAGTCATAGCTACAATATTAGCAGAAGAGGATCCTGGTGCTACACTCTTAGCGAATGCCATTCGAGCAATGCCTGTTACTGCTGAAGATATTCAAAAAGCTACCAGGGACGACCCGTTTATTCAAGAAGCGATCACGTATGTTCAGAGCCGATGGCCAGTTAAGCAGCTAAGTGGTGATATGAAACATCTAGCGAATCGTCGCAGTGCTCTATGTGTTGTTAACGACTGTCTGATGTTCGGTGACCGTGTAGTAATTCCAACAACCCTACGTCCCAAGGTCCTACGCCAATTTCACTCTGGACACCCAGGGATAAACCGTATGAAATCCATCGCTCTGAGCTATGCATATTGGCCAAACATGGATAGGCACATTGTCGATTTCGTCAGAAGATGTTCACAGTGTCAAACAGCTGCGAAAAATCCCAAGTTACTTTCAGTACCCTGGCCAAAATCAGAAAAACCCTGGTCACGAGTGCACATTGATTTCGCCGGACCCCTAGATGGTACCACATATCTGATACTGGTTGACTCTTTCTCCAGATGGCCGGAGATATTGCCGATTTCGCCACCATCTACAACTCGAACCATCAAACTTCTTAAGCAGATCTTCAGTCAGCATGGTCTTCCAGAAACAATAGTAACAGACAATGGTTCGCAGTTCACATCCAGTCAATTCCAAGAGTTTTGCCTGCAAAATTCGATCAAGCATGTCCGTTCTCCGCCATATCACCCGCAATCTAATGGACAGGCCGAAAGGTTCGTTGACACATTTAAACGAGCCATGTTTAAAGCAAGAGGGGAGGGGACCACATACGACATCATAGAAAAATTCCTTTTCGTGTATCGGACGACCCCACATGACTTATTACCAAACTACAAATCCCCTGCTGAGATGCTCATGGGACGGAAGCTACGAACAGTTCATAGTGCGATGACACCTAAGCGATTGGCCCAGCAAAGACCTCGAATGCAGACGACGCGAATGCCTTATGAAGTTGGTGCGAAAGTGTATGCGCGGGACTACAGACACGGATATGATAGATGGATAGAGGGTGAAGTCACTAAGAAACATGGGAACGTAATGTATGATGTCAGGGTGAGCCGAGATATTTGGACCAGGCACCATAATCAACTAAGGCCAAGGGAAGCTGATAAAAAGGGTGACATTACGAAACGCCTCTCACTCGACTTACTGTTGGATACTTTTCAACTTCCGACAATAACTCCAACAGAGACTACTGAGTCATCTACTCAAGCAGAACATCCTCCAAGTTCAGAGTTGCTATCTAGAAGGTGGTCGGATCGCAAACGTAAACAACCAAAGAAAATTCAGATAAATCCTCGGCTGCATCGCTATTAATTTCTTTTTTTTTTCAGAGGGAGGTGTTAGGATATTCACCAAATATCCTAAGAATACTATTTTTAGAACTGCAATCCTATTGGTCGAATTCTATTGGCCGAAATTATGATCGTTCTTACCGTCAGGGTCAAATACTTCAATGTTATCTCTTATTGGTCATCTGGACGGTCAATGTCATTCAAATGTTCCTTTCTAGTGGTCGTCCTAAATTGTCAATGTCACGGACGTTGATGCTTTTTCTTATTCGACCTTAGTGTATAAATACGCGCTATCTAGAAGACTTAATAATTCCGTTTCCCCTGCCTACTTCTTCTGTTTACGACCCAATAAACATCTTCCTGCCACGGTGTTACGTTCTGATTTCTAGGAGATTTGGGAAAGCTTTTGGGTCGTTTTGTGATATTTGAATTGGACGCCGTTAGGACTGAAGATTTACGTAGCCGCGTTTACAACACAAACATGAAAGAATGAGTAGTGGCTGGGTAAAACTGGAAAGCAAGGCACAGGAAAGAGTTAGTTGGAGAATGTTGGTCGGTGACGTATGCTCCATTAGGTGTAACAGGAGTAGTGTAAGTGTACCAGTCAGTCACTTACAACACAGAACTTCGTACGTAAGTACATAAGTTCATGTTGCCACACCACATTAGCAAAGAAACGCAATTGTTAGTTCAAATCCCATAGTGGTAGAGATAGAAGTATTAGCGGTAATGGAGAAGATTAGGAGTTGAAGATATTATTCAAGAAGTATAACATCGCTCTTCAGGGCAGTCAGTGGTTGGACATTCGGAACACATATCCCAACCACCTCAACTGATGAGGCTTCGATACTTCATCTATTGATTTTCCATCCCTACCTAGTACTCGTTTCCTAACGACAGCATTGCTTACAAGTTAGTCCCAGGATATACGAGCAATGCTTCGAATACATCTATAATCGAATACTAATAATCCACGAATATCCTCAACTCTTACCGGCCATGTTTCACAGCCATTTAGTTAGACGCAGTACTACTGCGCAGTACAGTCGTCCTTTAGTCAGAAAACGGATATCTGGCCTACGCCATAAGTGACGCAGGTTGGCAAAAGCAAATCGAGCCTTCTGTATCCGTGCTGAGATTTTGTGAGTCGCCAGGCCATCAGTGCTGATGAAACTCCCAAGATAAGTGAAGCGGTCGACATGCCCGACTACTTCACTACCTATCAGTGGATCAGGTGCCAATGCAACCCAGTCTTGAAGCGACATTTTGCATTTCGAAGGAGAGAATCGCATCCCGAACATGCTTACATTGTTGCCTAGGGTGGTCAGAAGACTCTGCATTTTGTCAGCGTCTTCACCAAGTAGATCTATGTAATCGGCATATTCTAAGTCAACAAGAGAATCTCCTGGTAGAAGGTCCACCCCTGAAAAGTCAGAAAAAGATCATGTTAACTCTAAAACCATGTTTATGACAATGTTACACAAGAATGGAGAAAGTGGATAGCTCTGACGAACACCACTTGATGTAATTAATTCTGATAACAGTTCGCCATAAGTGGTAGAGTAGAGAGGCTGTATGAGATAAACGTACTTCTTTGGTACACCTTTCAATGACAGACACTACCACAGAACCTCACAATCCACAGAGTCGAATGCCGCTTTAAGATTAAGGAAGACAACTTTTGTCAGACGCCTATATGTGTATCTGTGTTCTGGTACATGTCGTAGTGTGAAGATGTGGTCTATACAGCCACGTCCGGGTCTGAAACCAGTCTGGTTTTCTCTAGTCTGCTCTTCATGAGTTCTAGTTAGGCGTGCGAGCATTACTGAGGCCAATATTTTAGATACTATATTAGCTAGACTGATTTCTTTGTGATTGTCACAAGAGGACTTTTGTCCTTTATTGTAGACTGAGATAATCAGTGATTGAGACCAGTGTATACGTATGCAAAAGTTGCTTACAAAGTGATAAACTATCTGGAAAACTATGCTGTCAGTAATAATCTGGAAATTCATAGTTGATAGAGTCTTTTAAGTCATATTATTTCTGTGAATTATTTGTTCATTTTTCTGGAGTGATGACAGGGCCTTACTGACTAAATGATTAGTGCCCACGTTTTCCAGCTAGCTGATTCATGGTGAGTGAATTTTTAACAAATAACAGAAAGGAAGATTAAAACACATACTAACCTTACAGATTTGATGTTCACCCAACTGTGCAACTACTGAGTATTTAGTGATTAAAATAAGGTAATAACCACGTAGAAATCGTATAACTCCAACGACTCCATAGCATTTTGTAACTAAAACTAATGAACGCTTACTGCTGCCAACAAACAGAGCAGAAGCGGCAGCTTGTTGTAAATCTTTTGGATTAGGAGACATATCGTTGGATGTATTTGAATTCGAAATAGATGAATTTTCGTTGATTTCGGGCAACTGTTCTTGAGACTGACGCTTTGAAAACAATGAACTAAACCGTGACCATTTAGATTTTGATCCCTCAAACTTGTCATTACCATGAGAACTAGTTTGTGAGTGGAAATGCTATGAAAATTAGAATAATGCAGATAGTTACGTAATATTATAATATATAAGTAATATTTAAGACTTAACAGACACAAATAAAGCATTGTGTGCACATTTACCTCCCTATGACTAACGAAACTGATGTCACGAATATACTACACAAACCGTACGAAATACCTCACTTTCCATGATCCTAATGAATGGATATATCTTTTCAGTCAAATAGATCACACCCATTCGTTGGCACGGATGTATGTAAGCTTTCAATGTCATACCTAACATCGGTACAGCAAAAGACGAAATTTGGAAGATTAGCAGAGTGGAATAGATGAAAATAAATGCAACGAAAATATACATCCGACAAACATATTTTAAGAAGAATAATGTAGAACGGAAAATGGGATCTAAGAAAAGCCCCCCAACTCAAGGTTTAAGGGAGAATAAAGAACAAATGCGTCCGCGCAACTGTGACCGATTTCGAACCATGCCACTCAACGTCCCTTAGTTATTATTGATTATGAATAATATGTTGGTGCACACTAGAAAATAAGTGCCTTTCACCAAAGGATAATGGATTAATGTCTTGTTCTGTTTATCGCTTTTTACAACCCAAACGTACACTAGCCTATAAACAATGAGGTAGATGGTAGCTAAGAAAGCATGACATATGTCCTAATCACTTCATTCAGTACAGGTTTATAATCTCATTGATTGATTTTCCTTTTTTACCTAGTAGCTTACTTGGAAACTAGGTATTACTTGCTGGGCAATTCTGTCATATGCAAGCAGCGCTGTAAAGGCATCTACAAGAAAACTACAGCCTAAATATGTCTTCGACTTACGCATAATAAGCTTCACACTCATGGAACACTGTTGTACATTTAAAACACTTATCATATGATTCACATAACCGTAACCACACAAAACAAAAAAGTAAGTCAAAATGAACAGTAAAGAATCCATAGTAATATCAGTATCGACGGTAGTGAGAGAGGCTAGAAAGGCTTTGAGGAAAAATTGAAGATTAGAAGAATTATGAAATAATATTAAAACTCAAAAGCATGAGAGAGATGAAGAATATAGGCATCTGCGTTACCGAAACGTATTTCGATCATCCAAGGTCTCCCTCCAAACATTGGTTATTACTAATGTTATTATTGTTAATAATATTATTATTATTACTGATATCGTTGTTATGCGCATCCTAATCATACAGTCTACATCTACTGACGATCAATCAGTTTATGGACTGATGCCACATCTAGGTTTACTCTCCCAAACTCTAATCTTCCATATTCCTACCATAGACAAAATTCAGGCAGTCAGTCAGTTAAAACGTAGACTTCTACGTATGTCCATCATTGGATGCCGATGTATGGTTAGATGCAAATGACAGCTCTTGCTAGATGGATAGACGTTGAAAAGTGAGACTAAATCAAAACCATCCGAATGACTCGTACGACTGAGCCAAACAATTATCTCGTCTACTATCTATTAGTTATTATGGCATCTTTATATTTAGAATTTGTATTCAAAAGTAGTTTGGCTTATTTTAAACAATCTGAAATCGATGTGTGACTGATTACAAACATAGTTATGTGGTCTAACTCGTGCATGTTTAGGATTTTAGTAATGGACAGAAAAGGAGAGATAATACTCGTTTGCCTAAATCGAAATATGGTAATTAAAATCTGACAGTAGTATATACCACCTAGCGAAACTAAAAAAGGAAATTGCACGACTGTTTGCAAAACTTTGATGCATTCAGTTGTAAATGCCTAGTAAATTTTATGGAAGATATTACAGACTTATGAAACGTACTCGACTAGTTGCCTGGATAACATGCAATAATCGTGCTAATTCTGATTTGGAATAAATATGAGGATCCTCAATTATGTTAAGACGCCATATTCGATCAACTAAAGTTTCTGCTTCAACAGTTGCTTCAGAAGCACTACACTCTTTATCCAACCACAACTGATCTTCCCCCAAAGGAACAGGAGCACGAGCGATCTTGAGAATTCGGAAATAGCGTTCCCCAACATCAGAACCAACAAGGTAAATATGGGAAGGGCTTTCATAAACACTAATACTCTTCATCCAATTTATGTATGGTACTTCCATAGCTAAAAGATACAAAGAGAAGCGATTCTCAATAATGTCGTTAAGGATAAAAAATTTACCAGAAATGAGTAGACAAAAGCTGTAAGGCATTTTAATAACCAACTGGCTAAAAATCTTTACAAGAATCAGAAAGTGAAAATACACTAATCATTAATGTCTTTACACATGACTGGAGTTCCCCTGGTAAACATACTCAAAAGTAGTTTGCTCGACTGAGGTTTTTATGCCCAAGACTAACATGGGATTTCTATATAACTATCACTTTAAGGCTAAATTGAGATCTGATAGGCATGGAGCCATTACCTAAGTCCATCAGTCACCTGCAGCGCATAAGCCGGTACGTGTGTACATGTGTACATGTGATTAAGTTGCTAAACCTCATTAGCACAGCGAGATGAGTTGTCAAAGCAAATCGTGAAACGGTAGAGGTAGTGACGGTATTAGTCCTACTACAAAAGACTAGGTACCGAACATATGGTTTTAAAAAAAAAATAGTGCAATAAAGAAATTTTGAGGAATTTATAAGCTGGGAATTTAGAGGAAGACAAAGAATTGATTCACCTGAGCAACTGCAAACGATTATACGCCATGTCATTCTAAGTCTCTAACTATTGGTGACGATAATTATGCGAACTCCAATCAGATATTCTGTACCTACTAACATGGCTCAGTCCAATTGTCAACGACTTCAGAAAGTTTTCCTATGTCTTGGTTTAGCCACCTCTACTTTTCTTTCAGTCTACTCCTGCGTTAGACAACACCATCTGTCGAGATAGATAGTAATTGGGCATATGTAATACATATCCCAAACATCTCAGATAATGAAGATTTACTATCTGATTAATCGATTTGCCATCCTTACCTAGTACCCTATTCCTGACCCGCGCATTGCTTACCCGATGGTCCCAGAATACGCGAGTAATGCTTCGAAGATATCTGGTCGAATACTAGAGGCCTGAAAACCTTACATCATGATAATCATGTTTTATATTGCATTCACACAGTAAGCCACGCGTTTGGACGTCACCCTACCTAAGTTGGTTTAGGCAGAAGGGTAGTATCACTGAGCTCCCATAGTATGGCTTAAGGCCAAGTACATAAAGTGATTCGTGGCAAATAAGCTATATGCACAACGGGGAAAAATATGTTAGCAAATACACCTGCTTTATAACTTATCAAAGTATAAATGCTTTACCGATATATCTTTAGCCGGGTATTACATTACCGTTTTATTTACCGAACCCTTTAATTAAGCATTATATTGATATGAACTAAAATTCTAATCAGAGATTTAGGAACTTAGGCTCCTGATTAAATGGCGAGGGTCATAAATGATGGGCAAATGATATATATATATATATATAGCTCAAATCAAAATTGTTTACAAATGATTTTCCCGAATCTGAAGAAAATTTGATAGACTTTTTAGTTAAAATCAGGGTGTATATGGAACAAGCATAAAACTTTGTCCTAAGCGGTTGTACTTTTGATGATATTTCTCTATGGAAAGCAATAGAATGGGGTTTGTTCCTCCAGTATTTAAGAAAGACTACACTAAAAAATGTATTGCCTACACTGCTGTATCTAAACTTTTAACACTTAGGTACTCCAACTTATTTATTATCACATCCTCAGTTATGTAGCAGTTTCATGAAACCAGTTAGGAAGGACTTAAAACAATTTTTTCATTGGATACGAATGGAGCAACAGTGCCCAGAGCCTAGTTTATATTTACTCACCAGAACACATTGTTGATGACGTCAACCTATATGATGCTCTAGAATCTTAATCTTCAGTTCAACAGGAGACAGATTAAACGACAGTACACTGTAAATACAATGCAGCCAAACAAGATGTTTAGTGTTATGCGGAGAAAGTGTCATCCATTAACCGATTGCAAGACAATAATACTTTTGTTAATGCTGACACATCAATTGATTGCGATTTGAAGAAACAGATTACAACCTGCAAAAATACCAGGTAACGTTCTATATGCCCAACAATGTAGCAATCGTCAAAACAAAGCTTGGACTGATTACCAAGATAAACAAAAACAGAAAAATTAAGCTTCGCCCACACGCTGATGTGGTATATCTATTTACGGAGCCATTCCCTTCTATTGACAGATATATTTACGCACTCATTAGTAAGCCATGAGCACATACAGATGAGACACTCTTAAGGCCATTGCTTATTGTTGTAAGAGACTGAGAAGTCTATGGTTGTTACAGCGGACATTCAGCTAGTTGGATACCAATATGCTGACAACGGTATATACAACCCTAGTGAGATTCAAACTTGAAAACTGAGTTTAGGCTCCAAGACCCAGTTTGAAAGCCAACTCGGATATCCTGGAAGAAGTACAGAAAGCGGCTTCCCGTGCAATTTTAGGACTCTGAGATTAATCATAACCAGAGCGGCGCAAATGTCAGAACTCTTTACTCCGTCCTGTTGAACATGAAAAAGTGATCTGATGCATAGGATACTAGGAAATGATTTTGGACTTGATACAGGACATATCAGGCGAGCACAAAAGACAAGAACACAGAAAATACCCGTCGAACACCGCTTTTACAGATTTATCAACTTTTGTAACCTATTACCCGAAAACAAGGTGTCATCATCTTCCACTGAGTTGTCCGAGATAAGGATCACTAATATAGGACTAAAACTGGCCTCAAGCTTTATGTCCGTAATGCATGAATCTGAATCGTTTTCTTTAATCATACTGAAGTTACTGACGAATTTTCCTCGAAATTTCCCTAAAGTAATATTTTATTTTTCTAGTTTCTTGGAAAATAGGACACGAAGAAAAGAGCCAGCGAAACATGGAGTTCCTAAATATATTGATGAGTTCCAAGGAAAACAACTGCCAATAGCAAGAAGTCAGATTACAGTAAACTGATGATCTAAACTGGCCAGACTCGATTATAGACTTCCAGCTAATTAATCCTATGGAGATTTCGAACAAGACCATAGTTTGTGGACAAACCAACCACGTTTGAGATGACAGGTTAAGAACTTTATGGCGAAACCTATCTATAAATTTGCTTCTGCATTATATATGACGTCACTTCGCGACAAAAAAGACCAACTCTGATTCCGACCGTAAAGACCTAGCTCTATCACCAACAATCGTTCAAACTACTTCCCAAGGTCACCTGGGCGTTGCTTTAAAGCCGTTTCAGATTACAATCTCATCGAGTGTTAAAGTAATTTGTTTTGGTGTGTAAAGTTAATCCCTGGGGAAAAATTTGTTCCCTAATTATGCAGTCCGTATTTTAAATGTTTACTAGGCACACCCACACGACTTGCGACGTTGGTGTAGTTATCCCAACCTAGACATTTTGAACCTCTAATATCCGACATTCAATATCTTATCCCGGTCTAGCTTAAACCAGCTGATTTCGATTCTAGTTCTTTCGGTACGGTTCCAGGTGTCTGGTGGTGTCAAGGGATATGATTCTAGACACTCGACCGCCTAATTCAAGTCAGTTGACAGTAGTTTGCGAGTTTGTATGTCCCGTGATTTCAACGAATACGTTTATTTCAGGGCAGTATGATTTCTGGATACCAGTAGCTATCACATTAACAGGCTAGAGGTCAGTTAGTTGCTATCTGGTTAATGATAAGGAGAAAGTACCAATCCAATAAGCCAGCAGCGTATAACTTTCAACATGTTATACATAGGTGAGGGTATATTACGCGTTTTCACAGTTGTCTCTAAAACATCGAGTTACCAGTGATTTGCTTTCAAAGAATATATATGTTCGGTCACAAGCCACTGTGAAATGTACGTGGTTTTAACGGTTGTCATTTTGTCGTAAATAAATATAATCAGTTGAACTGCTCTCCTCACCACCGGTTTTTCCTCATGCTACCCACATTTAAGGTTGAATAAGTTGATTTAACGTTAACTGAATATTTATGGTTACAGTTTTTAAAGACTAAGATTTCCAACTTTATCGACCTCGAACACCAATTTCAGAATTAAATATGCCAAGTTATTATTGTCTTGTTATTGATGGCTAAGACAACCTAGGAGCAGACCTTAGTTGGATTCAAAATATGTACTATGACAATATAAGCCCAAAGTCCCCGTTCATTCTGGGTCAACATCGTTAAATAATGCATATTAGTATAGCCAATATTTCCCTCTGATACTACTGGACTTAGAAAAAAATGTGGCATAATCAAATCTGAAGTAAAATTGGATCGCTTTTGCGCAAAGCATTTATTAGTAAGAAATGCCTGAGTAAACTTAGATTGACTTGCAACGATGCACCAAGATGGCAAATTACGAAAAGATTGTTTTATTAGACTGAGTGCAATCTAGGGAACTAAAACCAGAATTATCAAACTTTGTGAAGACATTTTTTTACACAACCATAGAAGTATAAAATTCTTTTAAATATTCATCTTGAGCCAATTCACAGAAGACGTTATTTAATATAAGAAGTAGAAGAAACAATAGGTCAGCAGTGAAGCATATTGTGGTTGAAATGAAATCGATATGCCCATACTTGTGTTGAACGTACAGAAATAACGCTCTAAGAAGTACCGAAAAGAATATAAACCGGCAGCGCATAATACAAATTGAAACAGAATTACCACAACTTATCGTCGTCATACGTCTGCTTGATAAGTGTCAGATTTCGTTAGATGGATAATATATTGTAAATCTGTACTGTCCAGTTCTAAGCCAAAATAAGTGTACTTATAAATAATACGTAAATGGTAAGCCTGTTCTGTTATCTCAGACTTACTATGACGTGACAAATTAATCTATAATGTCTCATGAAGAAACCACATTATTTTCACTGCTGACTTGTGCTATCGTGGCTGTTAGTGGCATGCTTCTTAAAACTAGTAGGAATACATTCGTCTATGAAGGGGACGATATGAGAAGTAAGAGGTCATATAGAATGATTAGCGCAACGTTGATTTCATGCCAATCCAGTGAGATTATCACTCGTCGGAGGATAGAAGGAATACTTCTTTTATCGATAAACTGAAAGATAAATTAAGAAGAAGGGAATAACGACTGATCGAGGTACACGTGCAGTAATTTTGAATCATTCTGGTTCTAAAAATTTAATTACGCAATAGTCAAGGCAAACATCTTAGGACTATGAAAATAAAGGATGATTTGGTAGAAGTCACAATAAAATGCAAGGCTATAACCGCTGGTTAGTAGACTAATGTATAAATTATATATGTGTAGATGATAAAGATCGCTTTGGAAAACAATCAATATATTAATATAGTTGACTATAGCACTATTTTGGCTTTAAATTAGAATTGCAGTTCATACTTACGCTGATATGCTTTCCACGTTTGTCCATTTCTAACTACATCTGTAGTTAGCTAACTAAAGATATATAATTGCGGAGCAGAACTACAACAGTTGCTTCAATCAAGTTGTTCAGTTTAATAAAGCACAGTTCGATTCGGGGAGACTGGCTCAATTTAATTAGTGCCTAGCCATTACTGGATCTAGTGATTATTTTGCAAAATGTAAACTTTAATCTAAAAAACTTCCATTACACGACGACATCAATAATTTCATGAATTTCGAATGAAACTTGTGATAATTATTATAAAATTGATGTGTCCTTAAAGGATAAGAAAATTAGTGATTGAAAACATTATTTGGTCTGAACGTTGAGCTAACGAAACAAGGTTGCTTCTGTTACGCCAAAAATACGTTCGTCTTTTTGGCAAACGAAACGTTTTTGAGTGACTTGTATTATCTACGTAAAAGGAATCGAGCAACAACGTTCTACAGGCTGTCGGACGTCAGCAATCATTAAGGGCACAATAACGAAACCTCCTCACCACCGGTTTTTCCTCATGCTACCCACATTTAAGGTTGAATAAGTTGATTTAACGTTAACTGAATATTTATGGTTACAGTTTTTAAAGACTAAGATTTCCAACTTTATCGACCTCGAACACCAATTTCAGAATTAAATATGCCAAGTTATTATTGTCTTGTTATTGATGGCTAAGACAACCTAGGAGCAGACCTTAGTTGGATTCAAAATATGTACTATGACAATATAAGCCCAAAGTCCCCGTTCATTCTGGGTCAACATCGTTAAATAATGCATATTAGTATAGCCAATATTTCCCTCTGATACTACTGGACTTAGAAAAAAATGTGGCATAATCAAATCTGAAGTAAAATTGGATCGCTTTTGCGCAAAGCATTTATTAGTAAGAAATGCCTGAGTAAACTTAGATTGACTTGCAACGATGCACCAAGATGGCAAATTACGAAAAGATTGTTTTATTAGACTGAGTGCAATCTAGGGAACTAAAACCAGAATTATCAAACTTTGTGAAGACATTTTTTTACACAACCATAGAAGTATAAAATTCTTTTAAATATTCATCTTGAGCCAATTCACAGAAGACGTTATTTAATATAAGAAGTAGAAGAAACAATAGGTCAGCAGTGAAGCATATTGTGGTTGAAATGAAATCGATATGCCCATACTTGTGTTGAACGTACAGAAATAACGCTCTAAGAAGTACCGAAAAGAATATAAACCGGCAGCGCATAATACAAATTGAAACAGAATTACCACAACTTATCGTCGTCATACGTCTGCTTGATAAGTGTCAGATTTCGTTAGATGGATAATATATTGTAAATCTGTACTGTCCAGTTCTAAGCCAAAATAAGTGTACTTATAAATAATACGTAAATGGTAAGCCTGTTCTGTTATCTCAGACTTACTATGACGTGACAAATTAATCTATAATGTCTCATGAAGAAACCACATTATTTTCACTGCTGACTTGTGCTATCGTGGCTGTTAGTGGCATGCTTCTTAAAACTAGTAGGAATACATTCGTCTATGAAGGGGACGATATGAGAAGTAAGAGGTCATATAGAATGATTAGCGCAACGTTGATTTCATGCCAATCCAGTGAGATTATCACTCGTCGGAGGATAGAAGGAATACTTCTTTTATCGATAAACTGAAAGATAAATTAAGAAGAAGGGAATAACGACTGATCGAGGTACACGTGCAGTAATTTTGAATCATTCTGGTTCTAAAAATTTAATTACGCAATAGTCAAGGCAAACATCTTAGGACTATGAAAATAAAGGATGATTTGGTAGAAGTCACAATAAAATGCAAGGCTATAACCGCTGGTTAGTAGACTAATGTATAAATTATATATGTGTAGATGATAAAGATCGCTTTGGAAAACAATCAATATATTAATATAGTTGACTATAGCACTATTTTGGCTTTAAATTAGAATTGCAGTTCATACTTACGCTGATATGCTTTCCACGTTTGTCCATTTCTAACTACATCTGTAGTTAGCTAACTAAAGATATATAATTGCGGAGCAGAACTACAACAGTTGCTTCAATCAAGTTGTTCAGTTTAATAAAGCACAGTTCGATTCGGGGAGACTGGCTCAATTTAATTAGTGCCTAGCCATTACTGGATCTAGTGATTATTTTGCAAAATGTAAACTTTAATCTAAAAAACTTCCATTACACGACGACATCAATAATTTCATGAATTTCGAATGAAACTTGTGATAATTATTATAAAATTGATGTGTCCTTAAAGGATAAGAAAATTAGTGATTGAAAACATTATTTGGTCTGAACGTTGAGCTAACGAAACAAGGTTGCTTCTGTTACGCCAAAAATACGTTCGTCTTTTTGGCAAACGAAACGTTTTTGAGTGACTTGTATTATCTACGTAAAAGGAATCGAGCAACAACGTTCTACAGGCTGTCGGACGTCAGCAATCATTAAGGGCATAATAACGAAACCTTGAATTCTGTTAATAACAAAATCTTAATTGACAACGGCTAGGCAACAAGCAACAGTAGTTCGAATAATAAAATGAGCATTAACCCAAATCAAATACAAATGACTAAGAAACATAAAACATTTTTAAAAGAGCCCGTAGTTCGAACTTTATGCAAAAGATGGTCAAAGATTAATGAAACAATATCACTACTAGAAAGCTGAGAAGGGGTTTTTAAAGTATTCTTTTAGTTACAACCTCAGTATCTCCTAATAGTACGGAACAAAGATTGAGTGAAGAAAGGGAAATGGTAGCACTATGACACCCGAAATGCCATAAATCAGTCAGAGGGCCATTAAACAAGATTCACCATTTTTATTTAATGTTTTTGTGGTGGAGGGTATCTTACTGGTATATAGGGCCGTCTTTGATGAAAAGTGGCGTGTTAGATACTCAGAAAATCTGAAAATTATGTCCTCTGTAGTGAAAGGCAAACTATTTCCATTGAGGGTACTTTTAGACGCACCACGTGTTGCCGAATAAATCCTCCTTACATCTCATGGAACTCGGTTAAACTCTCTTTCGTAATGCGACTTGTGTATGACAAACCATGTTCAGTACTAGCAGCTACCAGAACATTAGTAGACACCCACGAACAAACAGGATGGTGGTTTACGGAGCGCTTGACGTAACGGATGGTAGCTTGGATGAAGCGCACTTATATCATATGCAGCAATGGCTCTGACTGCCACTTACCGTCGGTCTTCAAACCATCACGGCAATCGGCATTTCCCAGCTGCCTCGTATGTCACATCTCATGACAATTAGGTCTTCTTGTTTAATGGCTTGGAACATGAGACACTTGCAAAATTGATCTGAGGAGCTTCACACTTAGTACAGAACGGGAAGTTAGCTCTTAATTCACATAAAATGTGCCAAATTCAACGACAAGCTGAGGTAGGTACCTACAAGTCCATTGTCCTACTCAAGCTTAGAGTCAGCTGATGGCCTAGGAAACATCCAACTCACTCTTTGCTTACTGCTGAGAAAAATAAAATCCCTGCACACAGGAAAGTCCCTGGAGTGCGATAGTATCCGCCCTATAATCTTGAAAACTGTGAAGAAGATCTCAGTTACCGGGTACTTGATATGTTCAGGCATTCACTGGAGTAACACCAACTCCCAACTTAATGAAAACTTGTCACTCTCTATATCTCCAATCTTCACGACATGAGATAGGGAAGATCCAGCCTGTCAAAGACCGGTCTCATATATTCGAACAACGCCCTCCCTAAAGCTAAATAAGATTTTAGGAAAGGCACACCCAATCATTTCATAGCCTGAGGCAGCTGGACGACGTCTTGGAGCCAAAATATAATGGCTCAAATGATATTCCTTGGTTCCGCGGTCTTCGACACATTGATCCATTTACTCAGAATATTGAAGGTTTCACTGCCCAATTCTATCCTAACTCGGAAACTACCTTTCATAGCGTGGTAAATAAGGTACTTGTGAGCCGGCAAGTCTTAACATCAAGATTTTCTCAAAGAACCATTCTAGGTCCACTCTTCTAGGTTGTTAATCGATGACTTGTTAGATAAAATCAACTTGGTGGCACTTATCTATGCAAACGACGCGGAGATCTTGGGCCTATAATGAGGGATGAAAATTTATTTGAGCTTCGAAGGGACTATACAACAACAGAGGAATGATCAATGAACAAAGGGTCAAAACTCGTTCACTTGGAGTGTTGGGTCATGATTACTGTCTCAAGTTACATAAACAACTCACACCCTCACTGAAAGTTCTCCGCCTTATGTCTCTTCAGAGCCTTATCTAGGTCTAATAATCGCAGAAAGTCTTGAAAACACTTCATACTAACTCTTTAATTTATGCGAAGACAACTTGCTGCAACCACCCCACAATCGTTCTTAACTCTCTTCAAAGCATGCGTACAGCCACACCTTGAGCTTCGCAATGTCATCTCACCCACCTTCCTTAGAAGAGACATAGGTCTTCTTGATCGATTGCAGGGGCTAGGTTAAAGAATAAACTTTATGAATGTCGACTCCAACATTAAGGATTATTCCCGCTGGGTTATAAAGAAATCATGGGTGACCTGGTGATGGCATTCAACATGTTATGCACGGTTAATTACCTCACCATGAGCACCTTGCCAAAACACCAGAAATACACTTTTTGAAATAACCTATGTAAATTTGCACATTGAGGAGCGAAAATCCAGATTCTTATCCACTTCTCCACGTCGAGAGTTGTCACAAGTTAGAATGCCCTCCAAGTCGACATCACCAGTGGATGGCTTCAAAAAGATACTTAATAGGCAGTACTCACGGACTATCATTTTCGGTTTGGCCCAGCTATGTATGATAAATGTGTTGAGACATGCTTGTTTTCACCATTGTCACTTTATCAAATTACTGACTTTTATTTCACTTACTACCTCTGTTTCCTCTTCTTTGCTTACACTTCTGTCCCTCCCACACGATCCTTGCTACCAATTAGAGAATGTATGTAATTTATTACCTTATGCTGGAATTTTCATCGAATTTTCTAATTATTCTCTGCATTACGGCTACCTGATTACCTACCTAGTATTGTGGTAGCTTCTGATATCCATTAGCTCTACCGCCTTGATAAAAACGCACTTACTCAAATCACAGGACATATAACTTCATTAAACTGCCCAATGATTAGAATCAGTGAATTTGAGTCGCTAGACTACTATCCATATGGCACTACCTGATACCTGGAATCGTACCGAAAGAGGAAGAACGAGTGCAAACAAATCATTTTGTTTGAAACGTATTCGAAGCCCCATTCTGCCGGCTTCTGGTTCTGGTCATCCGTATATTTTCATATTATGATTGTGTGATTTCGGAGTGTTGCCCATTGCTTTCCCTAATAAACGCAAGTGCCTGCTCAGTCATCAGCTCACCTCTTCTACTGTTCTTCACTTTTCCAGATAACTTCACATGTTGCTCCTCACAACTCCCATAGTACAAGGTACCTTATGATTAAACTCGAACTTAACAAAAGCTGAACTCATAGGTCTATATTATTGAATATTGAAAACTGTGTAATACAATTAGATCGCTACTGCTGGTGCTCGCGTTCTTGTGGGATAGGGTTTTATTTCATACTGAGGTGTAAGTCATTGATAGTTCAATATGTGGAAGCAATTTAATGCTTCGTTCTAAAAATTATTGTTCGTACGCTCGGTTTACAAGTTGATTAGTGTGTAAAGAACTTAAGATCTGGATTGTGGTCCAGGTTTTCACTTACTTAAATATGGATAGGCAGATTATTAGAAGTCGTATATGACTGATGTGAGTTATCATTATTCAGTTGGCTCACTTAATGGCTTGTTTGATGTTTAAAACCCCAGATTATTTCAAAAAGTATGTATTATTAATAAAAAAAACGAGTGAAGAAATATTTTACTCATTGTTATTTTATAGTCTTCGCCAATACCTGGTAAACAGTGCATGGTTATATACACATGTATAGCTGGAATTTATTTTTCTTGAAGCTAATTAAACATAGCCTAAAATAAATGTTTCAATTGTTATCTAGTCTACCTCCACATGTGTATAGTGCTAAATTCAATGTCGCTCCGGTTTTGCGATACCAGAGAACATACGACTGATTTTCCATTCTGAGTCTACATTCGCGTAAAATAACCTCCTACTCATATGAGGTCAACACAAAATTATATGCTCTTGTTCCGAATTTCTCCTATGTTCGCCTTTATCTTTATTATAAAACAAACTCTTCGACACAGTGGACTGGATTTACGAAAGTTAGACATGCTAACAGATATTTACAAACAAGGAGATTAATAACAGTCGGATGCTCATCACATTTTCGTTGTACGTGAACTAGAGCATATAATTTTGTGTTGACCTCATATGAGTAGGAGGTTATTTTACGCAAATTTAGACTTGGAGTAGCCAATTCATCGTAAATTTATTAACATTTCCAATGTAAAGAGATGGCAACAGAAGTTTCACTATTTCCGCATGTTAGTTGACAAAAGAGATACTTTGGTGCATTATCCTCTTGTCCCACCCCATTCCGTAAAAGATTTTCCTCCCAGCTTTTGATTTCCTCTTTAGAATATGTTGATCTTCTGTCTCTTGGAGTGCCTTTGATTTTCAAAGGAACATTTAAATATTGGGTAGTAATTGCCCTGTCATTTAAAGAGCCTACTCTTCGTTAGTTGCCCTAATTTTTTTGTCACGATTCTTTAGTCAATTTTATGGTTTAGTACCTCTGTAAACTTCTTCCATGGATAGTAAAAAATTGGAAATTCGGTCCTCTTATATATTGATATTAAACTTTACAAACGTAGTGTTAAACTGTGTCCAGATTAAAAACTGTATCTACTAGTAATAACCATAATATTGTAACGTCTAAATTGACCTGCTGTTGAAATGCACTCTACAAACGTCCTACTTCAATTAGCACCAGTGCCATAGTGCAATATGTTCAGGTATGCACATTTTTCCATATTTCGCCCATGACCTTAGTGCGAGTTTAATTTTAATCAACCTGAGTTACCACCCGGTGGTTAGTTGATTACCTAAATTACCGACCACCACTGCCTCGTGTACAATTGTAACAGATGTCTAGCTGTTTTATCGGAAATCTTCAACGGATCAAAACCCCAGTATTAGTTTTCTAAATTGACCAGAACAAGTAATTTTAATTCATGTTCATTATGTTTACTCTAAACATTTTCAACCTAACAGATTTTTAATTACGTGTTGTAACAAAACCTGGTAAAAATTCGAAATCTTTGGTTCTAAATTCAGTGTACACATGCACTCTCATCAGTAAAAGTCAAATCATGTTTGCTTGCCGCGAAAGTAACATCGTTAGGTCTATCTCATTAATAAGAAGGTACGCTGGTTCATACTATTCAAGATCTTTTACGACGAAATCAGATGGAAATGACTCATCAGAAAACTGCGTTGGTAAGCTCTGCTTATTCGAAATAAATTATTTCAGTTTCTGATTTTCCACTGCTTACTGAGGCCGTAAATACTAAGAATTTAGAATTGGTATCGAAAATAATTATGGAACAGGTAATGAATACGTATATATTTTTACAAAAATTGTGTCAAAGGATCCTTTTGAAGTTAAACGCATACGAATTCCTAGCCAAAATTCAAAAATTTCTCCCAATCTTATTGCTTCACAGTCTCAGAGGCGAACGATTGGATGCATCTGTAAGTAGACATTTACAGCGACTGCTTTTTAATTTTATTAGGTTCATATTTTCCTTTTGTATCATGTTATATGATATAGTATGCAATCTACAGTTTTAGTTTTCCACTTACCTGTTGCATAGGATTATTTTCAAACAAGATTAGCATTTTTATGAAGTTGGTGGCAAGAAAGCCTTAACAACTGTCTCGTTTTCTGTTTTAATACGCATACTATTTTATTTTTATCTGAAAATTGAATCTCCCTTCTGAAATCAAGTACATATTTATGACTAATCAAAAACCTAAATATTTATCAAGTGTTTTTGTTGATCTTGTCTTTCACGCTCCAAAAATTGATGTATATTCAGTATTGTGAGATGTGGACAATGAAGATTAAAGAGATGGGAAAACTGTGGATATTTGCAAAATCATGTCTTCTAAGTATTGTGATAAGACCTAAAACTGGGTAATAAATTTACTTATGTCTGTTACTCCTAGTGAAACATAGGTTAACGACCAGCATTTTCCAACCAACTCTGTCCTGGGCCTTCCTTTCCACTTTAACCCAATCGTTATTCATTCTTTTCATGTTTGTCTCCAATTCTATTCGCGTTGAGTGTTCTATGCACCTCCAAAACCTTTTCTCAATCTCTTCCTGTGCTGAAATCTGGTTTGTTGTCTCTCACAGGTTATTGCTAATGGTGTCTGGCCGACGGGTGAAAAGTATCTTGCGTTAACAATCTTTAATAAACACCCGTAACTTTTGAATAGTGACTTTCGTAATTTTCCAACTTCCTGCTCCATACATTGGAACTGTGTTGATATTTGTATTGAAAATTGTGACTTGGGTATTGTGTTAGTGGGACATAGATAGATTGAAGCATGACTTCGCTAGCTGCGCGCTGATTGGCTAATTTCCTATCTAACCAGCGCCTGATCGATTCTTGGAGAACAGGGTAGAAAATTCTCGTGTTGTTAGCTGCATGCTGATTGGCTAAATCTAATCCAACCGATCACGTGAATTACTATCCAGAAGCTTCTCATGCAAAGACTATAAAGAAACTAACGTTGTATCTATTTTGCCTTCGCCTTTGGTTTCTTATTTCCATTTAACTTTGCTATTTGGAATATAGTCTTTTCATGTTCCACCGTGTTTTTGATTCTTTGGAACTTATCCAGTGTATTGTGGTCAGAGAATACTAAGCAATAGGAATTAGCCGGGAATTATTCAAGCAAGCATTACAACATGTTGATTAAAAGTTATTTTGAGTTCCAGATGTTCGTCAACTGTAGAAATGTTTCCATTATTTTGCTAATCTGTGTCTTTACACCGGCATCTGATACACCTTGTTTATCAATGATGCAGCCCAGATACATAAAGGTTTCCACATCTTGCTAAGCTTCGCTGTCGAGTTTAATTTGGTCAGTGTATGATCTATTGTATCGGAGGATCTTGCTTTTTCCCTTACGTTAGTTAGACTAGTAAGTGATCATAGTTCTTGGAACTTCTGGAAACTTTTCCTAGCTATATGAAAGATTGTTGGCTATGTGGCAATAAATAACTTTGCTATAAGAACCTGAAAACAATATAGATTAATCCACCTGTTATCTATCTGTTGATGTTTCACATTGTTTTTCGCTTTTTTTTTCTATTCTTCCGCTAATGTTAGTTTTCATTTAATTGGCTTTCCACTTCTATTGATTTTATGCTGCCCAATTGGAAAATGTAGTAACCTGAAGTGATCAACTTTTATGTAGGGCTTCATGTTATTTCCATTTGTTATTTTCAAACTGCATTCATTACTGTGTAACACTCTTAAATGTTTGTTAAAAAACGTATCGATTGTTGCACTTACTCATAGTTAGGTAGTGGTAATTAGTCATAGTAATGTGTCTTAACAGAACAAAGTAAGTAAGAAGCAGCTTTCTCTTTATTTCGAGATTAATACGAGAAACAAACTTGAATAACTACAAACCACTCAGGACTATCGCTGCAAGAGTCAAAACCAATGACACAAACATGATCAATACTCAAATAAAACAAGTTTGTATTCTGCACTGCTAAAGAACTTGTTTCCTTTTAGGTTTTTATGTATATATCTTCATGCATTACAACCTGGTTTCTGCCAAAGATGGTTAAAACATCATAAACATTATTTGTAGTACAACCCGCTGCCCGTATGAAGGTCCTTTATGTTCTCTCAAGAATTAATGTCTTAAGAAACAGACTCATACCAGGAAATATTGACTATTGCTCGATATTCCTTCAAATATAATAGATTTCATTTTTTCCTTTCATAAATGGTGTTTAGATAATATCCGATACCTTATTAACGCTAAATATAACAACGTGTAGAACGAATAGGAGATTTTAACTATCATGATATTGATATACTTTCGACTAGAAAAATAGTGGTCTAAGGTTAATAAACTGATTGTTCTCTTGTATCTAAACGGGCTAGTTCCAAATGATCTATAAGAATACTTAATTATTGTTAATCTCTATTGCTTGAACAAAGTATTCATCAGGTATGACTGGACAACAAAGTGTCTCTGAATTAATTTATAGCCACATTGTTTTAAGAATACTTTATTTCGAACACAGCACAATGGAATTCGGTACCTTTTTAGTCAAGGCATTTTAAGTACTAATCGTCTTGAGTAGTGAAAGAGAATGGCTGAAATCAAATTCACGCTGTTCTCAGTACTTGTATAGTGGACGCTACTCACAAAGTGGCATATAATATTATGCAGTGGAACATCGCTCAGAAGTTGCTACCATAGAGAGGAGTGTCTGGATATCGAAATGCATGGTGCTCCCAGAGTATATTGAAAGCAAAGAGAGATATGTAAGAAGACAGTCAATAACTTGCTTGTATTGCAAAGGAATATCTAAATATTGTGTACATATTTCTTCAAATATCTATATTCCATTTGGTCATGGCTTCTCCGTACGTTACACTTGCACTTAGTACCTACTTACTGGACACTTGAGGGGCCATTATCACTGTGGTAAATTGAAGAAACTCCCACAGGTGTAAGTTAATAGTCACTTCTGAATATTAACACCTTGATGGTTCAGATGAGGCGAATATATATATTCGGTACATTATTTTGTACGTGTATATATTTTGAGGTTTCTTAAGTTATATCTTGACACAAATTTCCTGAACTTCATTGTCACTATTCTTTTTCTTATTAGGTGAACCAGAAGCGGACGCCATCAATTGGCTAGAATTAGAAAAAGGTGATCCAGTTCAATGTTATTGTGGTTACTGGTTCCAATTAGTTAATTATGAAGACTATTTTAACATGACTAATCAATAAAATTGTCCATAGAATTGTTTTTACTTATTAATTAAATGTTACCATCTTCAGTATAGTATTTGTTACGGTCTTCGGATGACTGAAAACCGTACCCTGATATTCTCTATTACCGCTGATACCGCTACAACCTCTATTACCATAGTTATCTGATTAAAGACTCAATCTCTATGCTAAAGTGGTATGGCAACTTGAACTGATGTACGTACGCACAAAGTTCTACTTTGTAGAGCTGACTAACCCTACTATTCTAAGTAGTCTATACTTTCAATGTATTTATTTTTCTGTTGGTCAGAATGCTAAATAGCTTGCCCGTCTTTCATATCTAATCTCCCGAATTCCTCAACTTTGTTTTATCTTAAATTTATTTCGCTGGGTAATACTTCTCGAATCATATCTTTGATCTCTAATCCTTTCCATTATCGCTAAAACTGCTACTACTCTGGGATTTTAACTGACAATTTCATCTCTCTGTGCTAATGTGGTATGGTAGCTTGGACTGATGTACATGCATACCAAGTTCTACATTGTGGCTGACTGCTGACAAGTAATTTTTATATTTACCTAGTACCTATTATATACAAACACTGAGAAAGGATCTTAACAGAGGGAGCTAAATCCACCAAAATAGATGGGTAGTTGCAGCTGTATTTACTTTTCTAAAATTGACAGTGTATTCCTATTCACAGATGGGTCAAATATTTCCTACATGTATTGATATTTTTAGTCTCCATCAGTACCCATTCCGTAAGATTAGAAACAAAGGTAGGAAATAATATTACCTTCAAGGGGGAGCTTAAGGTTAGAAGGAGAAATGAGACCAAAGAATGGGAACCATCGAGTAACGTAAGACTCCAAATATGTTTGGAATATGATAAATCCAAGGATACCTGATTTCACACCATAAAATCCAAATTCTCTAGAAAGTATAACTTGCAGTTTCAGAGTGTGCAACGATGGATCCGATCGATGTCAGAAACGACTGATTCCATAGATTGCATGTTCTCATCCTGCTTCTAGCTGTTGTATAACCTCAAAAGAATACACAGAATACTTCAAAATAGCTCATCGGCTCAGGATCCAAAATAACCACATCTTGGTGTAGGTAAAAAACAGATAATATTGGGATGGATCCCCATCGACTACCAGACCAAACAGTGTTGTAAGAATTCGTAAAGATGGGGATAAACACTGTTGTCTCCTTATCTTGTTTGTCCTTGTTATGGTGACTGCGGTATAGGTGAAAAAGAGATCGTGGCCAAGCGTACAAACTAAGGTGGCCGCCTGTTGCAACTATGGTGTGATCATTTACTCTCAACATACACTGACTTTAAGCATGAGGAAAGATTGCATAGGTTGAAGACTACCAACATCATTACAATAATAAACAGGCACTATTAGGGGAAGGCTCGGTCGAAGACCAGTGTCTAGACTTTAAGTTGGCGCATGTATTTGTCAATATTTGGAAAGAAATGCAACGAGACCGAGGGCGAAGACGTCAAGGTAAGACTAAATAGTTACGAAGCCAACCACGTATGGTGTTTGGCCTGAGATAATCTACAGTCCGCAACATCTGTTAGTAACCTCACCCAAGAGGTCGTGATTACAATGCAAACCTAGTGCACTTGTGCAACCAGTTTATACGAATAATCACCAGCTGTTTTTGACCTTTATTTTCATCCTTGTTTACTTGTTCATTCAGCAACAAGTAATTACTTTTGTTGAGTATTTTGTACATAAATGACAACTTCAGTTTCGTAACATATTCACGTTACCAACGGGCCGAGGGTTTTATCATCAGTTTCGGCTAGCGATCTAGTGAGCAAACTATTTATTCATCTACTTTTATTATTTTACCACACTAATTAGGTATGGCAACTTAAACTGATATGCGTACACACAAAGTTCTATGTTGTTGTCGACTGACTGAACTAGGTCAGCATATAGAAATGGTGCTGTCATGTTTTTTCCAATTACACGGAAACGAACAAAGAGAATAGTGCCTTTAAACCACCAAGTATACGCTTAGTTCGCCTACTAAAAGACGTGCTACATAATTTGCAATTAGCTGAGTACAGTTCAACTACAAAACGGATCTTATACGCGAGACTTATAATCCTGATCAATCTATATATGAAGTGTGCTTTAAGGCTATTTCTGCAGTAACCATCGGAGTACTCTAATTCGCAGTGACAATATACGCATCTCTACTAATAGTGGTGTATACTTCGGATTCGTTGACCAGACACCATCAGCAACAACTTACTGTGGGATAGAACAAACCAGATTCCAGTGGAGGAGGAAATCAGGAAGAAGCGATGGAAGTGGATAGGACACACACTACGAAAAGCACCTAACTGCGTCACAAGGCAAGCCCTCACTTGGAACCCTGAAGGCAAAAGGAAAAGAGGAAGGCCAAGGAACACATTACGCCGAGAAATAGAGAAAGATATGAGAAGAATGAACAAAAATTGAACAGAATTGGAAAGGGAAGCCCAGGACAGAGTTGGTTGGAGAAAACTGACCGGCGGTCTATGCTTCATTGGAGGTAACTTGCGTAAGTAAGTACTATTAGTGGTGTACTGATTATTGTAAGTTTGGAATCGTGTTTTGAAGGAAATAATATCTGCTACAAAATTTGGAAATTATTTAAATAAAAGTATTGTTGTATTTACAAAGTAGTTTATTTTTCGTAAAACGCAGATATCTTGCGCTTTCACAAAATTCGTTGATGAATCATGATAATTAACGATATTGATGAACTTATAATTTCGTAATCATATAATGGTAAACAAAACAGTTTTGTACATTCCGTCGGTTATTAAAGCGATATCAACGTCAATGATAAAACTCCTAATAGAATTAATGGAAAGAATATACAAGATGGTCATCATATTCAAAAACGACAAAACACAAGGTACTATGAAAATTAACAAAAGGAAATATGCACAAATGCTAGGTCGTAGGTCCAACTAAGAACCCTGGGCGCTTGCCAGGCCAAGCCTCTTTGGCGTACTTCTTCTTTTTAGGATAGTTGGCTTCAACTAGACCCATATCTAGTCCAGCATCCTGACCAGCACTTGAAACGCCGTCTAGTTCATTCGAGGTACCCAAAATATCACTTGCACTGAGTCTAGATACACCCCCAGTATTTTTTCCTTCTGAAAATGCATTTCCCAAAGTCCCAGGTCTTGAGTGTGCAAAAGCATGAAGCATTGCTACAGTTGGTGGTAGAGTTGGCTCTTGAGGTTCATTTTCAACATCCGGAGCAAGATTTGGCACAGGTAAGCCAAGCTTAGAAGCCAGACTGTAATGGGGTCCAAATATGTTCTTTACATGCATCAAACTGCTTCCCGTGTTATGAACAGAGTTGTTCCCGTCTGCACTATTTTTCCCAGTCGTTCGGAAAGTTTCAGGTAGGTCTGGGGCTGCAACACCCAAGCTAGCACCTTCGTGACTGCCTTTAGCGCGCTTTAAAAGACAAAAAACTGCATACAATATAGGATATTAATGACTTAAGATTTTAAAGAGTATCTAAAATGAGTCTTTGGACGTTGGTAATACCTAACAAACTCCTATCCAGAAAACAACGCAATATTTACTGCTTAGTGATAGACAGTAATACCATATTTTAGAACCGAACAAGACTTTCATATATGACTATTTCGGCAAGGTAAGTTGACAACCTGATTCTTTTTTCTTGGGGTTGGACAGTCATATTAATCATTAAGAAAATATGGTGAAAAAGGTATATCCTGTTCCAAAGCATAGATTTTACTTTTGTTATTAATTTAGTAGCCTTTATGGTATAAGATTGTTGAAGAAACTCTTAGACATAACTTGCTTTTATAAGCAGATAACACTTATTTTTATAAGAATCCAAAACAAAAGTACATGAATCATTGTCTTATACACAAAGCTGATAAATTAGACTAACTAAAATCGCTACGGAGTTAGGGACAATAAAGCAACTTTATCACAATACTAGAAATCGATACACATAATTACCTTGTTTGGTATGAAAGTCTCCTGTATAAGATTTCGAAATCTCCCAATAGAAGGGTCAACATCTTCAGGATTAATAACTTCATCTGCGTCACTAAAGTGCACATTCTGAAGTGGTCGTTTACGTGCTTTATTAGTAGGAATTGTAGGATTAGAGGCAACATCAACCATGCTACTTATACGCCGGTTGTGGGCTGTATTAAACTCAGTTAAATTGTCTAATTCAACTTCAGATTGAGGGAGATGAGAGTAAAGTAAACCCAAAGAATGTGCGGTTGAATCAGATCCATCGATATTACGGTTTTCTGGACCAATTGTCCCATTACTATCTAATGTTTGCGAGTTCGGATCCGAGGGATTTCCGGAAATACTGTATAAAGGGTTAGGACGTTCGCGGATGATATAAACACGAGTAGATGCACCAAAATGTATTTCAGAGTCGATTGGAACCTGTAAATAAAAACAGTTAACTTATCGACTAAGTAAGTCCAAAAAACAGCTTTAAGATCATAGCAACTTCTATACTCACAGTCAGAAAATGGGGGATAGATTTTAGTGTAACCTGTAGTTATGTCAGTCAGTCAGTGACAACATAGAACTTCGTATGTACATACATCAGTTTAGGTTGTCATGTACGCCTATGAAAACTGGTCTCCATAACAGGAATTTTAGACGATTATATTTGACTATCAACTCTTTTGAAACATTTCTTGCATTCCGTGTTAACATCGTATAGGTGAACTAAATGTTTGGTTACGACTTATCAAGGGACTATGATTAAATAGGCATTAATTCTGAAATACTGCTGCTTTTGGTGTCTTGGACAAATAAGATCTCAACGTAACTCACACAGAACATTTAACGACGCTGCTACTGAGCTAGTCTGTCAGTCGCATTGTAGAACTTATTACGTACATACACCAATTTCAGTTTCCATAACACTTGTATTGAGTGGTAAAAAGATGTCCATTTAGCAGAATGACGATTCGGGGAGAGTTGTATTGGGTTACTATCTATTGCTTCATCAAGCTTTTCTAGGTGAGAATGTAAATAGCTAGCAACCATGTGGCTTCTGATGTTAATACAGCGCAGCATAGGTAAATGTGCTAACTATTCTATACACGTGTTCTATGTTTTTCACAAAAGGGAACTAGCAGAAAGGATCTAACAGTTTTTTCAGAGACTAAAAGGGTATCTCTTAAGCCTTCGATAGTTTGTATTATTTGGTACAAATTATACACTATTCATAAAATGGTTAAAGACCTAGGTGATGAGAATTATAACAGACATTTACAAATAATCTTTCCGTAGATTGAGTACTGTAAGGTGAACTTAAATGATGAAGAAAAGTTGGACCTGTTGAAGCTAGATTATTACAGATTAGAAACGATCTCAATAGGATGATTTATTCGGAAATTTTAAATTTGTTACGAACTATTTTATTCTAAATCGACCAGAACAACCCAAAGGATATGTCAAGAAACAGTGTTTGTAACGATTATAATTTAAGCCATAGGAATAATAGTTGCGAACAGGTTTTCCTGAATCTTGATTCTGTTGCCGAAACCGCTGACAACATTTTCGAGTAAATCATACAAAAAGGGATAATATAGGCTCTTAGCCCGGTGTTATTGATACAATCCAAAATCCAATAGGTTTATAAAACACTCAATTGTAATCAAGGGGTCAACAAATTTAAGTGAAACAAAAAAAACCTGCTGCGGTTTGTGAGGTTCTAGCCTAATTTTCCCAATAAAGGTCCCATGAACACTTCCGAGGTCGATTAGGAATGCCCGACTCAAAAATTTGTGCCATACCAAAACCGCATGCACACGTGAGCAGGATTGATGATCCACAGCAAAGTCGCATAACTGTTTATTTCTACCGAAAAAATAGCAGCTTTTTTCATCTATAATGAGTTTCTATGCTATTTAGCTACAAATAGAATGTGAATTACCTGAATCAGTTTTCCATCTTTCAGTACATCTAGATGCAGACCTGACGGTGGTTTACCTGACCTATATTTCAGAGAAGTAGTGTCAATAGCTTTTTAGTTAGGAAACTTACCAATTAGGTATTTTGAAATTGTTAACTAGTAACTCATTTGGTCTAGAATTATTCATGAGAAAAATCAAACCGTAGCGCTGTAATACATAAGGCCACCCTCACAACAACATACGATTATTGTCAAAATTTCAATATAAATCATTTTGTTTAGAAATACTAACTAGCTCCTTTTTGTATATGATGTAGAGTGATGAGTGCATAAACATTTATCCCGAATAATAGTATGGACTCCCTGGTATAATTTTTATGTCTTTTCTCAAAATGTTTTGTAAAATCTTTACTCAATGACGGGGGAGGTGATCTTACAATAAAATATATAGCAAAGCCTGTTAGCAAATCTGAAATGTGACTGAAAGTTGATTTTTCCTGAACTTCAGTCCTGCAAAACAGCTATCTCTTTCTCGCATCGTCGCAGGAGTTACATTACCTACTGATTTTAACCAGAAAATT